GGGAGTGGGGAGGAGGGAGGGATAGCATTAGGAGATATACCTAATGTAAATGACAAGTTAATGGGTGCAGCACACCAACATGGCACATGTATACATATGTAACAAACCTGCACATTGTGCACATGTACCCTAGAACTTAAAGTATAATAATAAAAAAAAAGTAAAGATCTCACATAAGCAGCCTAATATTATACCTCAAAGAACTAGAAAAACAGGAACAATCAAAACCTGAATAATTAGAAAAAAAGAAATAACATCAAAGCACAAATAAACAAAATAGAGACAAAAATATAAAAAATCAACAAAACAATGAGCTGTTTTTTTGAAAAAATAAAGAATGCTGACAAAACTTTAGCTAGACTAAGAAAAAAAGAGAGAACATACAAATAAATAAAATCAGAGATAAATAAGGAGACACTGCAATGGATACCACAGAAATACAGAGGATAATAAGTGACTACCACAAACAAGTATATCCCAACAAATCAACAAACCTAGAAGAGATGAATAAATTCCTGGACACAAAAACTTATCAACATTGAATCATGAAGAAACACAAAACTTGAGAAGGCCAATGAGTAATGAGAATGAAGAATTAATAAAAAGTGTCCCAGCAAAGAAAGCCCAAGACTTGAAGGCTTTGCTGCTTAATTCTACTAGCCATTTAAAGAAGAACTAATAGCAATTCTACTCAAACTATTTCAAAACATTGAAAGGAGGGAATACTTCTAAACTTATTCTACAAGGCCAATATTACTCTGGTACCAAAACCAAACAAAGATACAACAAACAAGGAAACTAATGTCCAGTATTCATGATGAACATAGATGAAAAAATCCTCAACAAAATACTAGCAAACTCAATTCAACAGCACATTAAAAATAATCACTCACTGTGATCAAGTGGGATTCATCTCAGAGATTCTGAAAACATTCAACATATGCAGATTAATAAACACAATCACATTAATGAAATCAAGAACAAAAACTATATTATCATTCTAATAGATGCTGGAAGAGCATTTGATAAAATTAAATGTACCTTCATGAAAACACTGTCAACAAATTGAGTATAGAAGGAACATACCTCAACATGATAAAGGCCCTATATGAGAAACCCACAGCTAAATCAAATTGAGTGGAGAAATGTTAAAAGCTTTTCCTGTAATATCTGGAACAAAACAAGAATGTCCACTCGTCCCATGTTTATGCAACATAACACTGGAAGTTCTAGCAAGAACAATTAGGCAGGAGAAATAAATAAAAGGCATTCAAATTGAATGGAGGAGGTCAAATTGTTCCTGTATGCAGATAACATTTTCACATATATTAACGTATAGAAAACCCTAAACTCTCCACCAAAAAAAAAAAAAAATTAGAAACAACACAAATTTCTATTCAAAATCAACATAGAAAAATCAGTAGCACTTTAATTTGTCAACAGTAAACTATCTGAAAAAGAAATCCAGAAAGCAATTTTATTTACAATAGCTACAAAAAATACCCAGGAATAAACTTAGCCAAGGAGGTGAAAGAGTTCTACAATGAAAACAATAAAACGTTGATGAAAGAAATTGAAGAGAACAAAAAAAAAAATTGAAGCTATCCTATGTTCATGGATTGGAATAATTAATATTGTCAAAATATTCATATTACAAAAGCAGTCTATAGATTCAATGCAATGTTTATTAAAATGCCAATGACATCCTTCACAGAAACAGAAAAATATTTCCAAATTTACTTAGAAATGCAAAAGACTCCAGAGAGCCAAAGCAATCTTGAACAAAGAGAGCAAAGCTGAAGACATTACATTACCTAACTTCAAAATACACAGAAAAGATATAGTAAGTAACACAACGTAGTACTGGCAGAAAAAGAGACATATAGACTAATGGAACAAAAAAGAAAACCCAGAAATCATCCATTTACAGGAAACTAATTTTCAGCAAAGGTGCCAAGGATCCACACTGAAGGAATGGCAGTCTTTTCAATAAATAGTACTGGGAAAACTGAGTATGATTTATAGAAAATATAAAACTATATACCTATCTCTCACCCTATGGAAAAATCAACCCTAAATGGATTAAATACTTCAATGTAAGACCAGAAACTATGAAACTAGTAAAAGAAAACATAGGGGAATTGCTTCATGAAATTGAACAGCAGTAATATTTTGAGTAAGGCCTTGAAAGCACAGGCAACAAAATAAAAAATATACAGATGGGATTACACCAAACTAAAATCTTCTGCACAGCAAAGAAAACAATCGATAGAGTGAAAAGACAACCTACAGAATGGGGGGAAGTATTTGCAAATTATGCATCCAACAAAGGATTAATATCCACAATATACAAGGAACTCTTAGCAGCAAAAGAAATCCTAATTTTAAAGTGGGCAAAAGAACTGAATAGACATTTCTCAAATGAAGGCATGCAAATAGCCAAAAGTTACATGAAAAAAAAATACACATCACTAATCATTAGGGAAATGGAAATCAAAGCCAAAATGTAATATAACCTCACCCCAGTTAGAATGATTATCATAAAAAAATAAACAAAACAAAACAAAAAATTCCAAAAGCTGGCAAAGATGTGGAGAAAGGGGAGCTCTTATGCACTGTTGCTGGCATAGAAATCAGTGCAACCATTATGTGAAACAGTACAGAAGTTCCTCAAAAAGTTAAAAATAGAACTACCACATAGTTCAGAAATGCCATTACTGGGTATATCTCCAAAGGAATTGAAATCAGTGTTTCAAATTGATATCTGCACTCTAGTGTTTATTGGAGCACTATACGCAACAGACAAGAAAAAAATCAACCTAAATACCCATCTACTAATGAATGAATGAGGAAAATATAGTATGATACACAGTGAAATACTATTCAGTTATAAAACAGAATAAAATCATGTCACTGGAGGCAACATGAATGAACTTGGAGGACATTATGTTAAGTGAAATAAGTCAGACACAGAAAGACAAACACTGCATGATCTCACGCATTTGTGGAATCTAAAACAGTTGATTTCATAGAAGAGTATTATGTTGATTACCAGAGAGCTGGGAGGGGTAGCAGTGAGGGAGGATTGAGAGAGGACGGTCAGTGGATTCAAAGCTACAGCTTGACAAGAAGAATAAGTTCTAGCGTTCTATTATACAGTAAGACGACTGTAGCAGATGATACTGTAGTGTATATTTGAACAGAGCTAGAGGAGGAGGTTTTGATTATCAGCACAAAGAAATGATAAATATTTAAAGTAATGGATACAGTAATTAGTCTTATTTGATCATTATATGTTGAAACATCATATTGTGCCGAACAAATATGTACAATGATTATGTCACTCATAAATAAAAATTGATTAAAAAAAGAAAATAATGCAAATTAAAACTACAAAATAATTTTGCATAAAATAATTAGGACTAATAAGGTTCATGTTTCACAGATTTCATATTTAGATTATAATCTTTTTCCAAATGTAGGGTGTCATTTAAGTTGATTAAATTCTTTCACTGAAAACTTTGCAAACTGTCTGTTCTGAAAGACCAATCTTTTACTTTTCTATCCATTATAGGCCTATAGATAGATGAGAGTGAGAGAGAGAAAGAGAGAAAGAGATTGTATCTGCTTGGTTTTAAATAGAAATGCAAATACAATGATTAAAATGCAAATACAATGATTAAAAAGGATCATATGAAACCAAATTCAATGACTAGAACTTTCCTATAAAGTTCTATATCTAACTCTAAGATAGTTAGATATGCTAAGCCTAGACAAAGATAATAACATTATAAATCTGTTTTGAACCATGTTTATAATGAGAGGACTAGCAAAGGATAGGCCTGCATTTGGGCCAACAGTATGATGCAGGTTTGAAACACTGGCAGCTTCTGCCCAAATCTCTGTCAGATGTTGTTAATTGATTTTGCCATTTTTAAATCACTTAACTACTAAATAGAGATGTGGTTTCTCAGTCTTTCCCCATACAGCCTTCCAGACAGCCACTTCTAATTTATTGGTATTAACATAAAATCAGTTTGCTATGGAGAGAAATGAAAAACTATGACAAGAATAAGAAGACTAACCTGACTTCTGCTTTGTTTCTGTCTTCACAATTAACTATGGAACATTCTTGTTTAAGTGAAAAGTTATACCGGACCAACTAAACTAATATGAACGAGCATATAGTTTCTAGCCATATAATATAATGGGACACTGTGATAATATAGAAGTGTGATTAGAGAAATAAAAGACCAACTTTAGACAGAAATAGTCAGGGAAGGTTAAACAAAGCATAAACCTGGAAGCACTACTTAAAGAAAATGAAAAGAGCTGGTAAAGAGATTCCAAAGAGCTGGACTCCATGTATGTCACAGTGCAGTTAAAAAGATGTGAAGAAAGAAAAACTTTATTACAGATTCTTGAATTAGCCAGTGTGTGCCAAAAGGTTTAAAAACAGAAGTCTTTGGGACAAAAGGCAAAAATGTAGTTTATGGCCAGGTTCCGAGCAGCATATCTTTATTGTTTCCTAATTCCTTTTGGGCCTAAATCCTACAATGAACTAATTTTACTCATTCTTTCCTCCTTTTTACAAACCTTTTCTCACTGCCATGATGAAACTTAATGATTTTTTTTTTCAATTGTGAAATGGCAGCGCTATGGGAAGGTAGCATGCCAATTTGCTTTGCATTTAATTTTCTCTTCAATTTTATTAGATGGAGGTTATATTACAAATTTTCTCTAAATTGATCTGTAGATTCAACAAAAAAAAATGCAATAGGCTTTTCTAAAAAAGAAATAGAGCAGAGAATTCTAAAATACGTATGAAAATATAAAGAATCTAAAAGAGATAAACCAATTCTTACAAAAGGAAAAGACTAAGAGATCTTATTCTTTCCATTTCAAGAATAACTATATATTTACAGTAGTCTACATTGTCTCGTATTGGCCAAAAATAAAGAGTTTAATGGAATTAAGTAGAGTCCAGAAATACAGCCACATACACATCACCATTTTATTTTCAACATAGGTACAAAGCAATTCGATGATGAAATCCTAGCCCTTCAATGCACTGGAACAATTGGTTAACCTATAAGGAAAAAAAAAAAAAAAACATAAATACTGACTCTTCCTCTAATTGTACCAGATACAAAATTAACTCAGTTTGTCATAGACTTTTTAACGACCATAGCACTTTTTTAAAGCAGTTACTTTTTAGAATGTTTTTCAACTTAGAGTGTCTGATGTTTTCTCACGAATAGACTCAGGCCATGCATTATTAAAAAGGATCATGCAACGGTGATATCTTTTCAGTTTATCACATCAGGAGATATATGAGGTTGACATTTGCTTGAAGTGTTGCATGCCTAATTGTCCACTCTATAGTTATTATTTTTTCCTATTTAATTGTTAAATAATTTTGGGGGAGGGAAGGACACTTAGAAACTATGTGCCTATTTTGTACCTATTTAAATTTATATCCACTAGTTTTAGCATGCATCAGATGTTGCCTGTGGCAATTATTAATGTAATGTTCTAATTGTGTGATTCGGTTTGCCTCTTCCCAATTCCCTGACAATACCATGGCGGAGCTAGAAAGAGGAACCTTATTACTTCCTGAGAAAGATGAAAGTCTAAATTTTTAAGTGGTCCCCAGTGACACTATGGGGTCTTAGTTACTGAATGGTAAAGATGAAAGTCCCAACTTCCTATTTAACATTTTGTGACACCAAGGCAGTCAGGGAATTGGAGGCACCTTGTTACAACTTGATGAGAGTGTAATCTATGAACTCGACTCAACTTTTTGCTGGCATGGGTCAGGGAGGGGACCACAGTTAATTTTCTGTGGCATTTGGCTTGTATAGAGAAGTCGTTTAAAAGTTCTCCATTTGGTGAGGCTGTCTCTTTTCTGATCCTTTGGGTAGAGAGGGCTTTTCTTCTTTTGTTCATAGGAACTTCTGGTCCTATTTTCGAATATATAAGGCAAAGTGAAAACCCAAGAAATTCAGCACCACATGATTTCTTGGATCAGAGGTACCCTAGTGTGTCTGTGTTCTCTCCTCCATTTAGAGTTATTTTATATTTGTGTTATATATAACGTCCAGAGTTTTTAATTATACTTCATAAGAAGAATAGGGACATTTATGACTACTTCACCTTTCTGAAATATTCTCTTTTACTTCTTTTTGTTTGGTTGGTTGTTTTCTTATTGTTGAGTTTAGGAAGTTCTTCATATGTCTGGACACAATTTTTTTTTGTCAGAAATGTGATCTGCAAATATTTTCTTACAGTCTATGGCATATGTTTTAATCTTCTGACAGTGTCTTTCACAGAGCAAAAGGTTTAAAGTTTGATTAAGTACAATGTACCAATGTTTTATTTGATGGATTATGCTTCCGTATCTAAAAACCTTTTGCCTAACAAATTAATTGTATAGATTTTCTCCCATGATTTTTTCTCAGAGTTTTATAATTTTTGCATTGTACATTAAAATCTATTATTTATTTTTTCTTAATTATATATTAACTTTCAGTATAAGTCATGAATTCTTGCTTATTGTGTATATAAATGTTCAATTTTTCTAACATCATTTGTTGAAAACAGGCTTTTATCCATTGAATTACCTCTGCACTTCTGTCAAAATCAGTTAACTGTATTTATGTGGGTTTATTTCTGAGCTCTCTATTTTGTTCAATTAATGTGTATGTAATCATTACTTACACTGGATTGCCTTGATTACTGTAGCTTTATATTAAATTTTGATATTGGGTAGAGAATAGTCAAACTTTGTTTTTCTTCGAAACTAATTTTGTGATTTTCATTTTTGCATATAAACGTTAGAATAAACTTATTGACATCTATAAGAAAAAAAATTAAGGCTTAAGGCAGGAGGATCACTTGAACCCTGGAAATCGTGTCTGTTTGGGTCACTGCACTCCAGCCTAGGCAATAGAGCTGGACTCTGTCTCAAAACAGAAAAAGAAGAAGAAAAAAGTCTGCTGGGATTTTGATTTGGATTGCATTGAAACTATTTTCAAAGACTTTATTTTTACTTAAAAATCATTGCATCTTCCCATCCATGGACACTCCATGTATTATTGTTTATGTAGATTTTTGATTTTTATAATCAATGATTTGTAGATTTTGGCATATACATTCTGCATGTATTTTGTTAATTTATAAGTACTTTACTTTTTTGACATAATTTTTGTCTAAATTTAAAAAGGTTTAATAAGCTTTCTTTGTAACTCCAATCTCCTATAGAGATAACTTGTGCCTAGAGTGGGAATGGTTGCCAGAGCAAACACTGGTAATTTTGAATTTTGGTCTTCTCTTTGCCCTGTGCTTTGAGAGGGTCTATATGATGGCTCTAGTTCTGTTGTCCTCTAGCAGTATTCTGAATGTGTTAGGTTGGCAGCAGGGAGTGGTGTGCACTGGGGGAAGGGGGAGATGTTAGTCCCTGTCCTTCTGATTAAGCCTTATCTTAGATATGCAGCATGTCTCTGGGGTATATCTTTTACAAGTTATCTTGCTCCTCACCCTAGTTTTGGGTTCACTAGGTAGTCCTTCCTCTCCAAAAGTTAATTTTTTTTCTTCTACTTCCTTCTCTGAGTGGCAACTGATGTTCTAATGGCAGCAGCACTTGTTCTTAAACCATAGATTAAAACTTTCATTCTGAAGAGGAGAAGGTTCCAGGAGATTCTTGCATCTAACTGCACAGCTATTGCTTTTCCTTAAGGTTAGATCACAATCAATATTTCTTAGAGTTCTTTCCAATTTTTCTGAGTATCCAGTGAAGTTTTCAAGTAAGAGCCTATAAGACGGGACAGATTTCTCCAATTTCTAAAGCCCCCATGAGTTTCATATTGCCCCACCAATGCTTGCTACATCTTTACCATTTGCATGTTTTGGGAGGCATTTTCAACTATTCTTACTCTTCTTACTGTAACTCAACTGCTTCTACTGCAGGCAAACAAGTCCTCAACTCCTCTCTCCTTGCAGCCTTCATTATTCATTAGATTTGGGGCTAGTTGTGTGTACTCCAAGCTTAGTAAACCAATGGGTAAAAAAAGAAAAAATCATGAATTTGAAGTTAGCGTGGCTAAACGTTTGTAATGACACAGTTTATGTGCCACTTTGGATTATGGGATGTCCAAACAGTTGGTCAAACAGTCTTAGTATGTCTGTGAGGGTGATTCTGGATGAGAGTACCGTTGAACGGATGGATTCAGTACAGTAGATTGCCCTCCCTAATAGATGTGGGCCCTATCCAATCAGTTGAAGGCCAGAATAGAACAAAATGGCTGGCTCTCCCAAGAGTAAGAGTGAACTCCTCATGTCTGATTATTTAAAGCTGGGACATCTTTTCTTTCCTGCCTTCATATTTGAATTCAAACATTGGCTCTTCCTGGATCTTCAGCCTGCAGGCATGCAAACTGGAACTACACCATTGGTTTCCCGGGTCTCCAGTTTTCCAACTACAGATCTTGGGATACGTCAGAGTCCATAATTATATAAGACCATTCCTTAGAATACATCTCGTCAGATACAGATATAGGTATGTAAATATATAGATATATAAATATTGATTCTATTACCCTGACTAATATACCTTCCATAAGTTGTCTTCCTCTTTTTGATTATTCTACTTGTGTAAACCCATATGGATGCTTCAATACAAAAGCAATTTGTCCTAGTTACAAGATACAGCCAGAAACCTACTCTTCCAGTCAAGAAGTCTCATTCTTTTCTACAGTTACTTCCACAGTGTTTGTATCAAAATCCTCACTTATACCCATCAAGTCCCACGTAATATTTATTGAACTAGGCAAGAATGGCTAAAATGTCTGGTGAATTAGTAACCTAGAAGCCTTGTCAAATCTGCAGCAAAGGTGCTTTCTAAAAAGAAGCCAAGAAGTTTTCAAATGCATCAAATATGTGTAATCAAGAGCTCCAATTACCTTTTTCTACATAATTCCAGTCTATTCAAACATATTAGGCTTACACTTATGCAGGCTATATCTGAAAATGCCACGGTGACTTGAAAACTACTCATAATGACTGAATAGACCTAATTCTCAAAGTCTGCACCCTGGCCCCAAGATTAGAGGAAAGCTCTTTCTCCATGATTCAGAAAGCCTTCCTCTATTCCTTGCCTCAGGATAAACAAAGGGATAAGCCTCATTTTCTCACATAAGTATAATGGAATTGGTTGTTTAACAGATTGTCACTGTACTTATAGCATTATCTTTTGGCTACAAAATGAAGTACAAAATAAAGAATGTTTTGGGGGGCATTTTTTTTTTTTAATCTACACACAGCTGGGCCTTGAAAATCATTAAGATTCTATAGGATTATGGCTTAAACACACAACAATGAACCACTACTCTTCAGAATTGCTTCAGGATGAATCAATATTTTTGTTAAACTTTAGTGTGTTTTCTTAGTGGGAAAAATCATAAGCCTGAACCTTATCAATATGAATGTTTCTTAGACCAGACAAATCTGTAAAATTACCAAAATGTATTATGCTTTTCATGTGTGCCCCAATCTTTAATCAAAACTCCTATTGCTGAAATTCCCTTTTACAGGAGAAAAGTCTAATGCAATAATTTATATCATGCTATGAGTTACTAATAACATCCTAATAGTATCCTTTCAAGCAATATTTACTCCTTCAAAAACAAGGTCAGATGTTACCAAGTTTTAAGGAAGTGAATAAGAATGAGGCATATTTATTGGGAGGAATTTTTTTGGTAGTAGGTGAGATTTCTTGGCCACCTTTAAAACATGCTGTGAAGAAAACTGCTCGCTGTGAGCCTCTTTAATATCAGCCTTGCCTTGGTTAAATTCAATCCCACTTCAGGCAAATTCCTAATTTTTATAGCTTCAAATGAATTTTGCAAGAAAATTGGGTACTTAGCTTTTGCTGTGGAATTTCAGAAAATCAGTTTAGAATGACTGACCTCTGTAGAATTTATCTACTACTAATTTTATCTCTGTAGAATATTGTCTACCAAGGACCAACTTTGAGAAGCATGTTTTCTTCCTTATCACTAATTAATTTGGAAAATTAAATGAGATCCTGGC